TACGTGTGTACGTGTGTATGTATGTATGTATGCATGTATGCATGTATGCATGTATGCATGTACGCATGTACGCATGTATGCATGTATGCATGTATGCATGTATGTATGTATGTATGTATGCAGTTGTATGCACACATCTGCATACACTATACATGCATATATATATATACATATATATATATACGACACATGTTGCATGTATATGTGTGTATATATACACATGCGACAGACACATGTATGTATGTATGTATATGTATATGTATATGTATATGTATATGTATATGTATATGTATATGTATATGTACATGTATATGTATTTATGTATATAGGTATATATGTATATGTGTACATATATATATATACACACATGTACGCACTATATGTATATATAGATATATGTATATATACATCTATAATCTCTGTATATATATATATATTATATATACAGTTTATTCACAGACAGATACATCTCTTTGCACTTATCTACATGTCTTTCGTCCGTGTATGTTCGACAGCATGTTTTACGATGATGTAGCCTCACGTGAGCAACAAGGCGGCCTTGGAGAGCAGACTGCAAGACTTGCGGCAGCACTTGCGGCAGCTGCATAGGTGCCTCCGATGCAGTTGGCTGGGGTGGACGGCAGCACTGGTTTATTCATCTGAAGCTGTTCCTTAGGGCAGACTTTGCTGTCGTGTTGAGCTTGATGGCTCTGTGCACCTTAAAAAGCCGGCGAAATGTATCAGACAAGCTTTGAAAAAATCTGACAAGGCACCCGAGTAGCGTCGCGCAATCTCCGAGATGTGCAGGCGCCTCTGCCAACGCAGAAACACAGATTACGAAAAACGGCACCTGGTGGCCGTCGCCTCGCTTTGATCTTCTCGATTTGAGCTTTGGCCTGACATTGCTGTGGGAAGGCCAATGCCAGTGCACGAACCGGTAAAGGTCGGCCTCCTCCACGCTCGGCCTGCAGTCCGAAAGGCTACAAGAAGACCCAAGAACGAACAAGAACGAAGAGCCATGTCCAGGCAGGAGGCAAAGCGATCTCGGTCTCGGCCTCATGAAAACATATTTCTCCTTCACAGCTACAGTCGAAATCTTCCGTGCCTTTTGTGTGGGGAAGAAGTGCAGGGGGTGTAGGCCATCCGTCACCTCAGCTGGCTGGCTCAGCCTCCGCGACAGGATTGTCGACAATCCTCGCAGTTTCTGTGCCCAGTCACATCCGTTTCGCGCTCGTCCCCCTGCAGGTCGAAGAACTCCTGTTGCACCCTTGATATGATATCTGCCTGAAGCGACAGAAACGTGAATGTGGGCCTGGTCGATATCACTTTCGGAGGTCGAACAGTCGGACGACTCCTCAAACATGGACGACACATGAAGCACGGGAACACGTAGGCGTTCAGCTCCCCCCAGCTCAAAGCAGCTTCAAACTTGCTTCTAGTAACAGTTCACTCTCTTCCAACAGAGTCCTCGGCAGTGCATGTCACCTGGAAGAGCAGGAAATACAGAAAAAAATATTGACAGCTCGGTAATTTCTTTGCCATTGAGACCAAAGCTCAGCACATGACCAACAAGTTCACTGCACAGACCCGTTGTGCGTGAACATCATTGTACATGATGTCCAATATGAAATGCTTGTAATCTTGACTTTTCCTATTTTCCGGACGCTTTGACAAGGAAGGGTGGATCGAGTGGTGTTTTTGGGGGATGCGTGTCGGTCAACTGCGAAGGATTCCGTGTGCATGTGGTGGTTTGACGGAAGCGAGTTCCCGAGCGGACGGAGGGTTCACAGAAACCAACTACTGCACACATGGAGGGTTGGCAAATGAGCAGGCACGTGCAAGAAGTGGGAAGGCCAACGTTCCTGTCCTATATGACACATGTTTGCACGATTCTTTTTTCCGTTCGTGTGACAACATGTTTTCAAACAAAGTCGTAGGATTGGTTTGAAAGTCGCGGCTCCTTTTAAACCAGAGGGTTGTTCGCAGCACATTACAGAAGACTAGTTGGTTGGTTCGAACCCACTAATGTTCAAAACCAACGCAAAAGCCCCTCTCTCTCTCTATATATATATATATACACATACACATGCACATTCGTTACAGTTTGAAGTTTGAAGAAACACAAATCACTAGAAGCATCTAGAAACCCAATTCGTGTACTGAGCAGCAGATTTGCGCACGGGCTGATTTGAGCAAAGGCTAGCTGGATTCCTGCAGCGGCAAAGAACAGCAAAACCCTTCAAGGTCCCAGGCCCACGCTTTGATTCACAGGCTCTCGATCGCTGGCGTTTTGGACTTCAGGTTAACCCCCACTCACTCTCACGTCCATCCCTACTAGTCCCCGTGGTCTCTTGCTCACTCGCAAATACCGTATTTGAGTTCCCCACGGGTTTAAGAACAAGCACAAGGAAAGTGCAGATCACTGTAGGGAACGAGACAGCGGCATCTGCTTTACATGTTGTGTAATGGCACATCGCAGCTCAGAGAAAGCAATGAACAAGGCATGTGACTTGCCAAGACATGCACAACAACATGCAGCGAAAGTGGAGGTGTTCTACAAAAAGTAAGTGTTTCTTGTTTATTTACTTTTCTTTTCCGTTTGCGCTGTGGTGCTTGCATTGGCTCCTCTTGCCCCAGAGTTCCCAGGATTGAAGAAGCGTTGCCTCACTGAGGGCCGGAAGATGTCCGAAGGACTCCCGGAGTCCAGGAACCGTCTGGAACCCAAACAAACCCAAACCAGCTCCGGGCCTCGGAACGGCCGGAGCGGTCGTGAAGGGTGACGACACCTTGGGCCGTGGTGGCAGCTACATCCCAATAAGATGCAACAGGTATCCAAGCAAACATTCAACAACGTGCTGGTCAATTTGGAGAAGCTGCCCAGGCAACATTTTCGGGGTTTCTAGCCCTGGACAAAAATCCAAAACAAACCTGCTCGTTTCAACTCTTCGCGGAGTCGCAGAAGTAATTCACACTTTGTGTCCCGGCTTGTCTGCACACAATTTGCCATCGCCATGCACTTGCTGACGGCCGTGTCACACCGAATGCACCGGATCAAATTTGACCTTCGAAGGTAAGCGGTGGAGAGCCTGCCTGGATCTGCCCTAGTGTATCCTAGTGTACTCAGTAGCAGCGACTGAACACGAGACAGGTGGGCTCTTCTGGTCCTCTAGGTTTCTGCACTCAGCTGAGCTCTGCACTGACGTCTGCCCAGGAGAATTCGTCGTTGTGCATGTCATCCCCGGCATTCATGGCAAGCTCAGAGTCTATTTATTAACAACTAAAGCTCTTGATGCCATACGGCCATGCCACAAACGCGGTGACTGTTCTGTAGCCAACCCACAACTTCGGAATGCTGACCGGTTGCCACGACCCCACAGCTGACGTGACGACACTCTAAGTTTGCGTCGAAATGTGCCGCTGCATGCCACAGGTACGAATCTCTTGCAATACACAGGAATTGCAATACGCAGGAACCTATGAGACTGTGCTGAAGTAGTAATTAGTGTGTTTTTCGACTGCGAATCGACAATGATAGCCGAAGCTTCGGCTTTGTAGCTCTGTTCATCTATCAGAGTCTTGCACTTCTTGCACAGCCGTCGCCGCTTGCTGGGACAACTCGACGCCATCGCAGCTGCCGAGGTCACGCATGGTACGAAGGAGCTGAAGTGAGCCTCCTCAGCCCCGCCGCGGCCGGCCGCGGCCCCGCAATTCCACATCGACTTCGGACACTCCAGCAGCCACACAGAGGCCAAACGAAAGTCTCGAACTCTACCTCCAAAAACTTGAACTCCACTCAGCCACCAATCCTGACAGGCACATCCACGCGCCAAGTCAATATTCCAGAGCACAAGCTCGAGGGCCCACGGCCAAGCCCCCACTGGCAGAGGTCGTCCTCTCGCTTGGTCGCGGGCGTTTCAGAGGAGGGACGTGGCCAGGGAGTACCAACAACCGGCTGCGACCTCCGAGGAGCAAAACGCCAAGAAACGAGGTGACTGTGCGACACCCTCTGCCCTGAGGCCACCTTGCGGCTTTGAGACCTGCCATGGTGCGACACATCGCTTCTCACCGCTTCGCAGACTTGGAACCCCGGGCCTCGACCTCGTCCTTGCATGCCGCCGTCCCTTCAGCCGTCGACCTCAAAGCAAAGCGCGACCGCTCCGCGACCGTGTCAATTGACACTGCGACTGATCGTAAATTGCAAGATGCACCTTCCATGGACTTCTGCAGGCTTACCTTCCAGAGATTCCAATCGAAACGATCATAGCTTCTTGCAGATGCAGCGCTTACAAACAGTAGGCCTTGCGCAGTTCCGACGATCATGGGCGGTGGCGGCAACTCCACGGCTATTGCCACCTGCATGGCAGCTCAACAAACGAGTGACAGATTCTCCGAAGAATCTTCTTGATAGCTAGCAAAGTCTTCTCAACCCTGATTGGAATGAAGTTTCACCTTCTCAGAATCACCATCTTCCACGGGATCGTCAGCATCATGCCGCAATGGGTTGAGTCGCTGCAGCGCCTGCATGCACTGACTTTTGAGCCGCGGTGATTAAGGTTAAGGTTTCACAGTGATGACCCAAGAAGACGCAAAACGATAGTCGGAGAAAGAAAGCTACTTGTAACTAGTCACTAGTACTGGTAGCAAGCGAGAGGGGGAGCCGAAGAGAAAGGAGCACAAAGACAGAAAGAGATTGTAAGAGATGGAGGTGAGTCACCGACTGATTCGCGAGAACCCGTTGTCAAGCTGTACTTCGTGAAGTTGTTATCTACAACAGCCAGCATCTTGTAGACATCAGGCAAGGAACACTGGAACTGCGAATGGCTGGAAGCTGGAAGCCGCCTGGCGATGGGATGTGCGAGGTTCAGCAGGCTCTGCCGACCTGCCCCCACAGCCGCAACGGGTGTCCATGTCATCCCAGGTCACTGGGCAGTGCCTTCTCCTTAAGCCTACCTCGACCCGCAAGGACAAGCGGCTCGTTGCACAGCTGCAATCGGAATCGGATCCTGCCCAGCCGCTCGACGTCTTCAAAGCGTGAGGCGTGGCTCAGGCCTGGCACCCAAACGTATCACCGCACCAGCCGCCAGCGGAACCAGGACACCCTGAGGCCAGCTGGCAAATGCATCGTCGTTCGTATTACGACCATTACGAGCATGCCAAAGCTGCGAAGCAGCACGAGTCATGTGCCTTTGTCAGCTTGATATCATCCAGGAAGGTGCCGTTCGTGCTGGTATCCTCCAGTTCGACCCGTGGAGTGACCGCCAGCAGATCGCTGACAACAGTGCAGTGCAGGCCACTCACCTCATGGAGACAGATCTTGAAGGTTCTCTTCCTGCAAAATCCAACTTGCTGCGACTACTGCAGAGCTGGACGACATCAACAAGTATCAACAGCTCAACAACTTGGATCCGTGCCGTTTCGTCCTGGCACACCTGAGAGTGGCACAAGCACGTCCCGATCATTACCTAGCTGTGGGAGTGTGAATACAGTTGGCTGACATTCGAGTCGAAAAGCGAACGGGGTCAAGCCAAGCGCACACCGCACTGTGGGCATCTGCTTTTCCTTGGTGTGCAACCCAAGGCACAATTGAACATGTAGCTTTTCTGCCAATAGTAGTGGCACCGCTTTGAGGCAAGGGAAACCGGCCAGCCGAAAACCTCAAGCACGTCACTCTCCTCTTTCAGGATCTACTGAACAAGCAACAGCAGCGAAGAAACGAATGTTCTGTAGATGCCGCCAGTAGACCCCGCCAAACCCGCCGCACACGGAACCAAGAAGCCACATGCCATCAAGCATTGGTGTCCGCATTAACGGTTCGAACACAGATCTTGCAAGCAGAGAGACTGGGGTGTGGCTGCTGAGACTGTCTCACTCACCGTTAGCTCTCTGACCTACACACACTGGCAGACTATAGGGCGATTGCAGGTGCAATTGCACACCGAGTCATACTTTTCATCTAGCAGTTTTACTGCATGTCCAACGCAAGCTCGGGGAAGGTCTCTTCAGCAAAGGCTTCCTTCCCTGCCTTTTGACAAGCTCGCACCGCAGAAAGCAGTGTCTGTTCCTTCACCTTAGCTATCGTGACGGCTGCAACAAGATGAAGCCAAGACCACAGATGAACATGGTGCAAAGAGTGTGAACAGTGAACAATCGAGAGGCAGGAAGGCCCTTCTTGCGCATACGGTGTACCAGCTGAACAGCTTCTTGCCATTGACCAGCTTTCTCACAAGCGGAGATGACAGAACTGTAAGTCAAGGAATCGGGCATGACTACGCGAGCCCACATATCCTCAAGGTATTCCATTGCCGTCCTCCACAAAGAGCCCTCGCCGGCAAGGATTATGCCCAGATTGTACAAAACCCAAGTAGGTTGCAAGTCGACCTGGAGCATGTTGCTCAGTGTGCTAACACCTCGTTCCCACTGACGTCCCTGTGCACAGGCTGTGATGGTGGTGTTGTACGTAGAGAAGTCCCAGCGTCTTTTTGCAGCATTCATGTCATCGAGCAGCAATAGGACCCTCTGCCATCCACGTGCGTTGCAACTGGCTGACATTGCCAAGTTGTAAGAGACCATGTCAGGAGCCAGTGCTCCAGAAAGCAGCGCTAGCACGGTCTCCCACTCCCCGGCTTGGCTGCAGGCAACCATGGCTGCATTTGTCAGCACCACATCGCCGCGGCTTCTGGTGCCCGTGCGCTTTGCTTCTAGAAGACCGAGCGCTTCCTGCCACAGCTGAAGACGGCCAAACGCCGCGATGAAAGACTGAGACTCCTGACAGGCAAGGCAACTGCGAGGCTGAAACGGATGAAATGTCAGCACCAGGCCTTGACCCTTGTGAGAAGCTCTGGCTGCTTCAGAACGTCTTCAGCAGCCATTTTTGCTTCCAAGGAGTTTGGGGCAAGCTGCTCCAAGTCACGTAAACGTCCCTGATTCCTGCAGCCGATGCTCATGGGCAGTGAAGATTGCACATGTCACTGCGGACAAGTCTGTTGACGTTGTGGGGCACCTGATTTCGGATATTTCTGGGCAGGGAATCACTTCGAAGCCTCGAGGATCCTGGGATTGCTCTAGTTAAGGCTTCAATCAACAAACCTGAAGGCTCTTTGCAAGCTGGGTGTCTTGACGGAGACGGCAGGTCCCTCAGGTGACCGTCTTCTTCTCACCCTTCCTCGACCTCTTGGCTCCCTGGACAGCACTCTATCGCCCGGTGCTTCCGAGGCTGTCGCAGACTTCGCCACGTCCACGGCAAAAAGCAGACTCGAGCACCGAATGCCAAGCAGTGCCACGCCCATGGCTAGATGAACCCGGCGCCCAAACGCCCGCCGGTGCCGTCGCCTAAGCGAGAGCTCTCTGGCTGCCATTGCCTTCACGGTACAGAAGTAAAGACGTGATGAAGACCAATGACCCAACGAGAGTCTTTCGAACATCCTTTGATCAACACAAATGCTTTGATGTCTAGAGTCTAGTTTAGAGTTTGTATTATTGCCTCAAAGCCTGTGCTCACTGAACGTCCGACCCCTGTCAGCAGCGGCGTAATGTGCTGGAACCGTTCCTCACGGGGTCGAACTGCACTTGTGCAATCGCTTGTTGTGCCAATGCGCTGTGTCCACCACGTCGGGTCTTCCCAGCACAGTAAAGCCGTGCTGTCAGGCCAGCTTCGGTGAAACAACTGCAACAGATCTCCGTGATAGTAGCATTTGCGAGTCACCACCGTGAAAAGTCCACAAGATACATCCAACGTGCTTCCTGGGCACAACACCAGAAAATGTCTGTCGACTTTGTCGCGAGGCGAAAGCTCATAGATGCAGGCGAGAGGCCTCGACAAAACCGAGCATGTGAGGATAGCTCCTCGGCCCAGCACGTCCCAGTAAACCCCTTGTACAGCTACGTACATGGTTCGAGTATTGTGTGGGTTGACGAACAACTGCTTCTGCACAACGTCAGCCTTGCAGGCACTACGGTGCTGTAAAAGCAGCGCTCTGGAAGCTACTGCAAGTAAGACTCCATCCCCATCGGAGGGTGCCAGACAAGACCTCGCGCCATGGCATCCCCGCGCCCAGCAGCCGATCTGCGATCCAGCCCTGGCAGAGCTAGCATGCCGATCAAAGCAAAAAAAAAAAACAATGCGATCCAAAAGGAGCAACGACCTCGTGTAGTGGCAAGTTGATGTTCATCAGGAAAACACTGCGCGGACGACAGTGCGTTTCCTTGCTTTCAGCCCATTTGTGGATAGCCAAATCGCCGAGACTGACTCTCTTCCCAGCCCCTTTCCCCGTTGCACAGACTCAGTGTCGAGAACGTGCCACTCTTCGATCGCCGGACCACCTGTGTCGATAACGGCGAGCTCCAACGTCCTTGAAACCGGCCGCAGCAACCACAAGCGTGCACCAAAATGCGAAAGCACACCACATGCTTAGGAGGCCAAAGCCGACGCTGGCTGCGGCTAGCTTCGCTTAGCTTCGCTTGCTATCATTTCTGCAACGCGAGCCTGTCAGCCAGCTCTTCACAAATCTCTCGCAGCGTACTCTGGTTCTTCCTCGGCCGAGGACACCGGAAACAGTCCTCGCGCATGGAGTCAGCGAGGGGAGGCGACACAGGGTCAAGAGATCAGTCCAGCACATCAAAGGATCCTTCCATAGAACGTCCACAGCCCCTGACAGAATGAGCTGCTCGACCGACTGATGCTGCACCAACAAGCCTTCATTCTACCGTGCCGTGACCTTGCCTTGGGCAAAGCTCACTCGGATATGCAGAACCATGCACCGCTATCATCTTCGGCAAGGAGCCCTGCCCGTATGGATTGCATCAATACCATTTGTCGACTGAGAAACTTTCTGCCGCCAACGTTTGCCAGCCTGCAGATGCCGATGCAGGCGTCCTGCGAGGGGCAGCGGTTGCCCGCTGAGGCGATGAACCTCCAAGCCGTGCGCCTCAAAGGTACGTTCGAGTCGCTACATGCCATTGAGGCCAACCTATGCCCAACATCAAATCATACCTGAACGTCTCGACGACTGCAGATACAGCCAGTAAAATGTCCTGAATGCGCTGAGTGGCTGGCTGCTCGCTCAAGAAACCATCCTCGGCACAAAGTCTCCAGCCAAGCACTCGTAACGTAAAGCCCGTCACACTAGACCAGACGAGTCTCAATTGCTTCTGACCTCCCGTCGAAGCTCAAAAGCACTGGAGGCTCCTGAAAGGATAAGTTTCGGAAGCGCTGGGGGTGGGGGTCGGGCCCCATGACCACTCCTGAGACGCAGAGCTCCTGGAGCCGCAGACAGGCAAAGCTTCCCCGCGCATCGCGTCAGCCCGAACAGCCTGCATCCACTTTCAGGAGACGGAGCCTGCAGCATGCTGCTGTCGCCAGCCGAGCGGCTTGAATGGCGCGAACCATCCCATCGACGAGCCTCACGGCCAGGGAAGAGCTCTCACTTTCAGCCTTGGCCTTGATGGATCATGCACCTCTTCGTCAAGAAGGCACCACCCATGTACACTTCCACGGCGAAGGAGTTCTGCGGCTGGGAGATGCTGGCACTCTGCACAATTCTAGGAGCTACTCGAGGGTTCCATTGTCGCCACATGCGCCTGTGGCCGGCAAGTGAAGGTCATCCACGCGATGCATCGCGCAGCACGTTGCAGGGTCTCCAAGTTCAGGTCGGGAACGAGGTCCTTGCCGGTAGGCGGAAGTGGGAAGCCAGGTTGTGAAGCCCATCCCCTTGCTCCTGCAGAATCTCCGGAGATCCGTCCATCGGGCCAGCCGAAGCGCTTCTCAGCTGCGAGCAAATGCGACAGGGCCGCAAACAGCACCTGCAACGTTCGATCCCAATTTCGGCCCAAGCTTCAACGAGGCAGCTGGACTGTCCATCTCCCAGGCATCATCCTGCATGCTCTCGCAAGTGGAGCGATTTGGGCGATGGATGTTCGAGTTCTTCCACGGATGTCAGTAAATGTAGAAAGCTGGGACTCTCCGAAATGAATAGATTTCCTGTCCAGTGCAACTGAGGCCATCATTGCATCCTATATGCACACTACCACAATGTAACTCTTCGGGCTGGAGTTCAACGGCACTACGAAGGGTAGTGTCCTCCAGGCAGCTCTTGAGCAGACCAGACATCCTCTCCCGTTGCTGTTCCGAGCCCCACCTCAGCTGGTCTTGTCACCATTCCTCTGATACAGTACAACAATCAATCAGTGCAAGAAGTTTTTGCACTGCGTGCTTTCTCGGCACGGGAGAGATGTCGTTCCCGACAAAGACAGGGCAAGAAGCCCGAGCCGGCAGCGCAAGCATGCGACAGCGACCATGAACTCATGCTGGGGCTCCGTTGCAGCTTCAATTTACTGTGGTATGGGGTGTCAGGTCGTGAAAAACTACTCTCAGGTGAGTCTGTGTCCTTGGGCCATCGATTCAAGATAAACAACTCGACCCTGAGTCACTGAGGATCCTCTCTCCTTTCCAACAGGTCCGGACTGTGCATCTCTCACTGCGAGTGTCGACAGCATTGCTGCAGGCCTCGTCGGCGGTCAGCCGCCATCGTTTTTTGGCAGCCTAGACAAGATCAAGAGCCCAAGCGAGGAAAAGTGCTACAGCTCGCTGCTCCACCGGAGTCACTCTACGAATACTCGTCATTGACCGTAAATTCGGACTATCTGCGGACAGATGCAAGCGGCTGCCTTCTCCAACTGAGGTGTCCGAAAAACAACTACGAGACCTTTCACCATGCTCAGCATCTCGACAAAGACCTCGGCCCACATTGAAGAAACTGCGGCGACTGCATGTTTCACTGCACACTGGCAATCACTGGCAGTCACTCGTATCTGATCGACTTTGCAAGGGTAAGATGCCGGAGCCCTTCCCTGGTTCTGGGTCAAAAACGCGAGCCAACTCGCGGTCTCCTCTCGCCACCTCCTTCATTCACGGAACTTGCAACGGAGCCTTCAGACGCGACGGTAAGCAACAATTCAACGTGGAAGCTCCTTCAGCACCACTTTTTTCCTGAGCATCGTGCAGGCCAGCTACAATATGATGCGCCACAGAAGTGCGCAACAGATGGAAGGGATCAGCACACCCAGATGGCCCAACAAACACCTGATACCCCACCTCGTGTCATCATGTAAGAGAGGTGAAGGGATAGACTGCAAAGTTCCAAGGCAGACGAGCATCTGCTCGTCGCCTGTCACACAAGCAGATGCTCTGGTCTTGTCCTCCACTCCGAGCCTTAAACTCCAGCAGCAGAACTTAAGAGCTTGGACGACTTTGCACTGCCTACCAGAGAGCAGACTCGAAACGATGTGTGTTCATGCTGGCCGAATGATCGGAAGAAATGGTTGTTTTAGGTGGGCACATGTGGAACAGAAGTACTCACCATGGGAACCAAGTCAGATCAGCCAGTCCTGCTTCCGTTCAGATTAGCGTTCTCCGTGCGACTGTTTAGCCATGTGTTTGCATGCAACCGCATCAGCAGCTTCTATCACAGAGGTCAGACTCCGACACACTCAATTTGCCTATCACTGAGTGGAGCTCCTGCATCTCATTCCATGAAAAGTTGCAGTCTTGTGGTAGTGTTGGTTCATGCTGTGCAGCGTGGCCTTGTCCATTCAGTTTCCCGTTGATTTCTTGGTTTGCTGCGTGGTTCATTACGCCAAAGGTCTCTGGGTTGTTCTTTGGTGCTGTCTGACACCTGGCATCTTTGCATCACTGATGATTCCATGGACTCGACTGCCCAAGACTTCATGCTCGGATCTTCGGCGGACAAACTCCGAGTCGGAGCTGAATGCACTTGCTAGCAGCTAGCATGCACTTGCATCTATGTCAAGTCACTGGTATGATGGCGGCAGCTCCACATCGAGGCGGCTGCACCTGCATTCGATGTCGATTCGATTGGTGCCCACGAACCCTGGGCTGGTTTGCTTCATCTGCAACATGCAGGACTAGTCTACAATGCTACTCCGTGCAAGGCTGTGCCTGGAATTCAAAGCGTTCTCCGTGCTGCTCTTCAGCCCGGCTACCAAAGCTGCCACATCCTGACAGCACAATGCAGACGCTCAGATGCCCTCCGACGCCTCCGGCCACAAAGGCAAACATTTTGTCCTTGTATCATAATTGCAAAGGCTGCTGGCCCACTGGCCTTAGGCACCTCCCCCTTGGACTGCTCCTCGCCACCTCCGAAAAGGTTTCCTGATTCACCAGGGGGGGTGGTTCCGAATACCGTCCTTGCTTATGCATGCCAGCCCGACGTTCCTCGTGTTACGATCAACGAAACGCTCGTTCATACTCATGTGGACAAAACTGCAAAAAGACTCCCTGATACGTGTTGATGCCATTTGCGCTGTCGCTGGTTTCATGAAGTCACCGACAACTCTGTGTACATAATCTCCCGCCTAAATTGAAAGCTGCGCGATGTACTTTGCCCTGACCTGCAACAAATATGGCAACACCATGTTTTGAATTTTTGTCTGTACGACAGTGTACTGACAATCTGGACGGAAGGACGCATCGACAGGAACGCGCAGCACCAGGAAGCAAGCCTGTCACGTATTCCCAATTCCACGCTCACGTTTGCTATGGCATGCACACTTCGGACACTGCTGTGCCGAGGCCTGCATTGAACGAGGAGCAAAACCAAAGCCAGGAAACATCGCTGCCTGCTCTCGGAGCAATGCCAAGACCGTCATAGAGAAGCCCTGCTGCAACTTGCATCTGTACTCACAAGCCTACCTGCACATCCCAGTTGAAAAAGCCGAGCAAGCGCATGAAACCGACGACATCTAGTGAGGCATCAAAGACCTCGTGCAACCGTAGCCATCCAATTCAACCTAATCGATATCAGCTAATCAGAACCGCGGCCTTCGTCTTGCTACTCGGTCCCGCCATTGCAAAAGCATCCGCATTTACCAGACCGCAAGCTGTTAACTTTCTTATTGGCTGGCTTCAGGGCTGTCAGAAGTGTTTCAGGCCTCGGCGTATGACCACAGAAGTATTCGGCACCAGTGGTGTGGAAGGTTTGCGAGTTAAACAAGCGGCTCTCAATCTAAATTGTTGTCGAATGCACAAAAACCTGCTGCACCAATGAGGCTTCTGCTGCCACTGCTATTGTTACGCAACTGCTTCTGCTCCTGCTCGTGCTCAGCTCTTGCTGCAGTTAATATTATTACTACTACCACTGCTACTGCTACTGCTGCTACTACTACTACTACTACTACTATTATTACTACTACTACTGTTACTGCTACTGCTACTGCTACTACTGCTACTACTACTGCTACTACTACTACTACTACTACTACTACTA